GACTGCTTCTCTTCTAATGTTGTATAGGGAGAGCAAGGAGGAGCCAAATGTGCAATTCTGTTTCATCCTGCTGCTTCAAATTTCAGGAGACAGGACAGATAATAGCTCTTCCCATTATTATTATTATTATTATTACTATTATTATTATTATTATTTTGAACACTTTTACCCCACCCTTCTCAACCCCTAGGGGGACTCAGGGCGGCTTCCAATTGGCAACAATTCGATGCCGCATAATAAAATACAAAACAGCAATAATTATAACAGTTAAAAGTATAAAACATTAAGACATAAAACATTAAAACAATATACTTACAGTCCACTGAGCTATTACCAGTCTATACTTATCAGAGACAGAAATACCACTTCCAATCCCCTGAAAGAGTTTTAGAGTACATTGGTTCCTGTAGGATAATACCTATCTCTTGCTCACCAATATATCTATTTATATTTTTTCCCCTCTGATTTCATTCCATTTATTTCCTGGAGCTAAATGTGCTTGACCCATGTTTTTATTCTGAGAAGTGGCTTCAGTGACTGTGAGTGGTTCAATGTGAATGTGTGTAAAGAGCTGGGCATGTTTAACTTGCAGAAGAGAAGGCTGAGAGGAGACATGATGGCCATGTATACATATGTGAGGGGGATTCATAGGGAGGAGGGAGAAAGCTTGTTTTTTTGCTGCCCTGGAGACTAGGACGCGGAACAATGGCTTCAAATTACAGGAAAGGAAATTCCACCTGAACATTAGGAAGATCTTCTTAACTGTGAGAGCTGTTCAGCAGTAGAACTCTCTGCCCTGGAGTGTGGCAGAGGCTCCTTTTTTGGAGGCTTTTAAATAGAGGCTGGATGGCCATCTGTTGAGGGTGCTTTGAATACGATTTTTCTGCTTCTTGGCATAGGGTTGGACTGGATGGCTCATGAGGTCTCTTCCAACTCAATTATTCTATGTGAAGGCTTGATTTGAACCTGATGTCTATGGGGTGGTAGATGTGAAGGGTAGAATGCAGTGATCCTTGAGTTGAGAGAAAGCTGATCAATGTTTCACAGGTTTTCATCCTCACCAACTGACCCAAGTAATTTTCTATCATCCCACTTTTCAGCTGCTTTCAAAATGTCCCAGTTTCTATCTCTCTTAATCTCACTTTCACTTTTTGTACTCAGCTTACTTTAGTTTCTGAAAACTGAACTCAAAGTTCAAAAATAGTTGGAAGTCAGTTAATTCGCCAGGAGGGAGAGGAGTGGGCTCAATCCTGCCTTTATGCTCAGCCAAATACAAACTGCCGCACCTTCTTCTAAGTTCCTCCTCAGTGACAACTTTTGCCACCTGACCACACTGTGATATTGCTTGATCCCATGCATCTCAGTTTTCTTCTGTGATATGTCAGAAGCTATGTGGCCTAAGAAAAATATGTTATTTCTTGCATCTCAATAGCATAACACTGTTATTACACCACAAAAGGGCATAAAAGTGTGCAAAGTTTAAAGATCTTCAAATCATTTCATCAGGCAAGCTGCAAGGCAACTGAAGAGAAAAAGGTGTATCATCTTCAGCCAGGTAATTTTTAGCAAAGGCTTATTCATTTTTGAAAACACCTGGCACAAGAAGCATTTTCCAAACCAGCAGTTCTTTGTCATAGAATAAGTGAGCATGTCAGCAGGATATTACAAAAATCACTGATGCTTTTGCTGGTTTCAAAAGAAGAAACCATGTTTTAATTGAAATAGAGTAGAAAAAAACAAGTGATCAGAAAATATATTATGAGATACTGGTTTAAATTAGAAATATGTTCTGTTTAAGAGTGCATGGGATACCTTAGAAAGTACCATTGCTTACCACTATTGTTAGCACTGAAGATCTAACTCAAATTCCATTTACTTTTCTCTGACAAGGAACGCTAGAAAGTGACAGGATTTGAGGCAGACTTTAGAATTAGTGAAGAGACTTAATGCTTCACCTCATCCCATCATACAAACAACACAACATTTACTGTGTGCTGCGGCTCTCATGCATTTTTCCATTTCCAATATACAATAAGCCTATAAAGGGTAAGTACCAGTTACACTCATATGTCATACACATTGCGCAGAAATAGATAGTGTCAATTTATCCTTTATCCTCCATTCCAATCACATGTGTGTGTGTGTTTTTAAAAAATAATAAAATGCATTGAGTAATAATTGCGGTAAACAAAGAGCAGATGCCACAGCAAGTCTAATCCAATCCAATCTGAAACTCTGTCACATAAAGGACAGTAAATACATCAGTAGGAAAGAAGAACTTATGAGAATGGGAAATAGGTTCAGTGACCTTTTGTGTAATAAGATTCAATAGGTTGAGTTAAATCTGTTTTTCTTTTATCTTCCTCCTTGTCCTGTCCCCCCTACTCCCCATCTCCACTGATCAAATTTGGTATATTTCCTAATGCATTTAAAGTGAAGATGGAGATGCCTGATGGCAAAGATCTATGCTACACAACAGGAAAGAGTCAGTATGTTCTGTCTGTAGCGGAACACCAGAAGATGAAAAGTCAAATGAGAGTGAATGAGAGAGAGAACCACTTCTTATCAATTTTGATCCTCATGGAGAAAGTTGTAGTACAGATACCTTCCTAGAAGTGAGGATAAACCAGAGACACAGGCAGATTATGCACACACTATTTATGGATTATATAGCTGGATGGAATAAACTCTGTGAGTCCATATGTATCTTCATGTCACCTGCTACTTTATTTCAATGTTGTTAATTTCATATGATTTTTTAAATTAAGGGAATACTCACAGGTGGTTTGCCATTACCTTCCTCTAAAATATAGCTTACAGCATCTGGCATTCCTATCCAACTACTCGCCAAACCTGACCATGCTAAACTCCCAATATCTGAGAGGAGTTGTTGCCTTCAGAGTGAAAGTAACTAGCATAAAAGCCAATGAAACCTGTTATTTTGAAGGTTGGGTTATCATACTCGTATAACCATTAACTAAGTGTTTTCCTGGGAGCCCCCCAGTGACACAGTGGGTTAAACCACTAAGCTGCTGAGCTTGTTGACCAAAATGTTGCAGGTTCGAATCCGGGGAGCAGCGTGAGCTTCCGTTGTCAGCCCCAGCTTCTGCCAACCTAGCAGTCTGAAAACATGCAAATGTGAGTAGATCAATAGGTACCGCTCCATGCAGTCATTCTGGCCACATGACCTTGGAGGTGTCTGTCTACAGACAGTGCTGGTTCTTTGGCCTAGAAATGGAGATGTGCACCAACCCCCAGAGTCGGACACGACTGGGCTTAATGTCAGGGGAAAACCTTTACCTTTATCTACAGTGTTTTCCTAAACACTCTCTTTTCTGTTTTCCATTGTTTGCACTAACCACACTTCTAGCTTGTCTTGACTCTAGTTGCATTCTTTGCTATATATGGGATTAGAAGCATGCGTGAGCTCCACTGTTAGCAGCAGGGTTCCAGACAATTAATTTCTTCCTGTGGAACCATTAATATACGCAGGGGCTCACAGAGTAATATAAGCAAAAAGGCTGGAGGTTTCAGTCTCTAAGGAATTTACAATTTCAGTTTTGGAAAAGATTGCAAAAGAGAACAATGAAATGCAATAGCAAAAACAAAGATATGGTAACTGGACACAGACACAGTTTCATAAGATCAGGATTAATCAGGGATGGGCACTCACTTCCCTTTAACAAAGTGGTGGAGGGTTTGAAAATAATGTGTTTCAAATAACATGACCCATACAATACTATGGAGGGAGCATAACAAGGCATAATTGTGTTACTTTTTTCTATCAAATAACATAACAAAACAACTCTGGGGGAGAGAATGAAATGTGGACTGTATATTTGTTAGATTCTAAAAAGAATTGAGGGGGGTTTGTGGGCAAGCAAGGTCCCACAATAACTCAGTCTGCAATGTATAATTAATACACAAAGCATATGTTCTGGCTTAAATTATATGAATATTGATTTAAAATATAAAGGACTTAAAATATTAAAATCATTGCCAAAACCAATCAGTTGGTAGGCAAACTGTACTTTGACATGTGCATGAGAAATATTATATTGCATTTTATCTTTCAATGAATTTTTAGATTTTTTTTGTAGATAGTGCAAGCTCAATGAGGCGTCACAACTGTAAATGTTCCTGTCTTCAGAATGCCTTTTATTTATCAGTCATTATCCTAACAGAACAGAATCACGTAAGAACTTCGATTCCCTTTAAACCCAAAAGAACTATTTCACAAGCCCAGCCAGCTCCCCATAGTTTCCATCTTTCACAAGTTATTACTGGGTCTACCATTCATTCATTCTTCCAGTGATTTCAAGCCAGCATATATAATTATTTTTTATCCATTTCTGTTATACAGTATACCCTCCATGGGTACAAATCACTTAATTGCCTAGTATCTTCTCAGATGTCAGTAACTGTCCCTTCTGGAGACTTTTAAAACCATAAAAATAAAGTTTTTCATGACTACTTTGTCCTTTGATCACATCCTTAAAAGGAAAATTCCTCAAAAAAATGAGTTTTTTTTCTAAAATTATGCCATTAAAACTAACTTGCTACAATGCTCTGCTGTGTTGCCTCATGATGATATGAAGTTGGCCACAGCTTCTTGAAGGCCATGCCAGTGAAGTAAATATTCCGACAAGTTCTACCAAGTTAGTGAGGCTTCACCTATAGCCTCAATGGCAGATTGCAAGTCTTACTCAAGAACATGCCCAGGTGTGTACAGACAGGCTCACCACCAGAAAGTTGGCCAACAGCTAACAGTCACATCAGCTAAAATGGTGGTATATATTGGTTGCAACTTGCATCAATGGAAGTTCAATCCACATCAAAAATGACAAATCTTCAGGACCCCATTTTTATATTAAACATGTGAGTGCTAGTTTCAGAGTGGTAATTTAAACACATTTCAAAGTGTACATAACACTAGAATTTTAAATACTTTTCAGCTTTGTTGCTCTTTAACTGGATGAACAGTGAAGGACAACACCTACCTGGCACACCAGGGGGTGTTTTCAGGTACTTTCCATTAAAATGCTGAATAACTACTTCACATTTTTCAGTAGATTCCATCCTGGGGGAAAATAAAGAAAATTGTTATTATATCTGTTACTGCACAATAATCAGGAAAGAAATTACTTAATTGAAGGGATTATTTGATTGGGGGAGAAAACCCTCAAAACAAATCTTGTAGAACTTCATAAAAAGGCAAAGAGAACATTTCATTCCCATTTTGAATTAGCTGGCATGAGTCTGTTGTCTTTTTAAATGTATTTACATGACAGCAGTAATATACATTCTAATTCCCATTTGCTACAAAGCCAAATGTTTGTCTAACAGTTGATGATTTCATAGAGATGCAGAACTGATCTTCCTCAAATATAATAAAACGGCAGAACAGAAAGCAAACTCAGTAGAGATAAAATGAGGAAAAGTTCTAAATATTACACATTCTTGTTTAAAAACAAGTAAGGCATAAAGATATACATACAATGATTATAAATACAATGATTAAGAATAATATTTTGATAGCATAGAATTCTTATTTTAAAATACTTTTCCTGATGGATGCAATTTTCCCACCTAGAATTCTTCTCCCAGTGATAGAGACCATTAATAGATTAGCTGATGAAAAGTTAGCACCACACCTACTGTAGACTTCTAATTTTTGGAGATCAGAATGACTACACGATTCAAATGTGACAGCAACATTCATTTCAGAGATATTGTCCCCCAGGGGAAATGATCACAGTTAGTAGGCTTGTGGGCAGATCCATTTTAGCCATTTTTCCTTGGCCAGTCCTGCTTCTTTGGCTTGATTGGATGTCTGTAATGGCAAGGGCCAAGCCGCCACGGTTTTCTGACCATAACAGGACCACGTGGCTGCTGATCACGGCTCCTTCTCCCCATTTTAGGAGCATGTGACGCACAACGAGACTGACACTCCATGCTTCTCCTCACTCGGGGTTTCCCTGTGAACCCTGCCCGTTGGGCCAATTGGAGTAGAAGAACACTGTGACATGTCTTACTCAAGCTGTGTTTATGGCGATCTCCTCTATTGCTCTCAGTTGCATCCTCATGCTTCAGTCTGATTGCCTTGTTGCTGCTCTACTTGATATTTTGGCTTGGCCTCTCTCTAGATCTCTTCAATTTTCCTTTATTTTCTTGATTCTTTTTATTTAGTGGGACTGACTGGGAGTTGGAAATGTGTGGGACAGGTGGGTGGGGTGCATGAGACTTGGGAGAAAGAAAGAGTATATATTTCTCCTTGCTCTTGTTGTGTGCTTTACATTAGAAATTTTTGGGTGGCTTTGAGAGCCTTAAGTCGCCCTTTACTTCTCCCCCCCCTCCTCTTCTTCAAAAAATACTTCTAAAAGATTATGATTATGATTATTTTTAAAGCAAAAAGAAAACTCTCATTCTCAGAAAACAATTACCTAGTTATCTACCACCTTCCTTTACAAACTAATTATTCATTATATATTTCTCTGTGCTGCTTGTCTCTAACTTCTGAATTTTCAAGTAAAAATATAATAATAATAATAATAATAATAATAAGTAGTAGTAGTATTTTATTTATTTATTTATTTATTTGTATAATATTGGCTGACTGTTGCCATTTGCCTGCCAGTAGTACAAAGAGCAACTACAACACTTAGTGGGCTTCAATCTGTGGAGAAACTTAGCAAAAGTTTTGGTAGAAGTTGCTTGCTATTGTTTTTTTTTTATTAGGAAAAAAGGAAGTGTAATAGTGGGGCACTGGGCTGTATGATGTAGAAGTGCATCTTTGACATTTGGCAGGAAGGAATAGTACCCTGCTGCTGCTCCTGGGAATTTTTTAAAAGGAGAATTTATTTCTAGAAAGAAAATAAATTTCAAAAAATCAGGGGATGACCCAAACATTATGAAATTTGGTGGGCTAACAGTGGTAGTTTTGTCCTCCAAGTGTGGTCAATTTCATCCCAATAGCCTTAAAAATGATGAAAACGGGAGCCTGAGGAGCCCACCCATTGCTGCCAATGGGCCGAATCTAGCCATGTTTTTCAGCAGCGGTCTAAAAACAGCCATTTTTGGGAAGCACGAAAAAATGGATGTGGGGGTCTATTGGTATTTGGCCAGCAGAAACGGATAGAGGTTCAGCTGAAATGCACAAATCTAACAGTTTTCTGCTAGTTGAATGTATATATGTGTACCAATCACTGCCATGAACACTAATTATTATCTTACATGAAATAGAGGTATCAATATTAATTAATGGCATATAATCATCACTGCCCAGGCTTGTTTCTGATCCTTTGATAGCCAAAACTACAACTCCTGTAGAATCCCTAATGCTACAAAATACCATACTTTCCTGAAAATTGGCATAGACCAGGCCTATACATTATGACAAGATAAGTAGTATTGCCATTCTAAACTTTTCTTTCAACCATGAAATACAAAGCATAACTACTAGGATTTTTTTTCCATTTGGGAATTTACTCTTTCTAATCAGATTCATTATTTCTCCAGATTCTCCAGATTCAAATCCAAACTTCAAAACAAAGTAAAATACTTAAAAACAGATAGCATTGTGGGCTAAACAGTGTTTGGGTCTGACTACTGGAAAGCATGATTCCCAAGAAATCCACAGTAAAACTGGGCACTTTACTGTGGACAAAAGGGACAATACCATAATTACACTGGGCAGTTGGCCATGCACTATATCTATTTCTATTTATCTCTTGTGTCCTATTCCTTCAGATGCTTTTAAAATGCATTATTATAGTTTTCCTTCTCCCAGATTTTTGCAAAGTAGGTCCAAAGTGTGAAAATAGCATGCAATTTCTTAACTCATTTGTGAGGGAGATGAGAGGATGGAGTGGAATTTTGCTCTTCCCAGTAAATACAGGCAGAAACAAAGTGCTGCAGCTTCTCCTAACTTTTATGTTCATCTCATTATTACTTTTCATTGCTTGGCCACAAGTTTCCTAATATCCATCTGTGAAATATTGGAGGATATGAGTTCTATCTGTGAATGATTTATTTATTTATTTATTTGGGGGGTGTGTGTGATGTTTTTCCTCTTTTTAAATATGATGTGACAAGTGCCATTTGAAACAGAATTGATAATAAGGATTTATAACAAAAAGGTCTGACCTAGCCAAATGTTCCAACCTTTTAAAATAAATTTTCACACTACTTTAATTCTGGGTTCCTGGAGCACAAGAACTGCAATGTTGTTTCATACTTCTAACTCAACTTGCATTCACTATGGATTAATACAAGTGCCCTCCCAGCACACGCACACAGAAACCCCCCTCTATAGTTAAAAAGTCAGAGCAATAATGTATTCTTCTGGAGTGCCAAACTCTTCTCCACAGTCTAAACCCAGGGGTATGTAGGGCAATTTGCATTCTCCTGGTGAAGTTTTCAGAGTGGATTTTGGAAAATCTGAATAGGAGATGATTAACAGCATCAAAATTTATGTTACTTTGTTTCAGGAGGAGGCACTAAAACTGTCCCTTTTGGCTTGCAATCACAGCAGTCTGTTGTAGCCCCATCTTTTCCCTCGCTGCTGTGTGAACATGTGGGATGGGCCATTTCTACAAACAAAAAGGCTGAAGTCTGAATCGTTCACTCTGGCTTCATTCAGATTTAACTAAGCGTATGTCGGCAGTGAGTCTTTGGAGACTCTCATCTCTGAAAGAATAAATGCAATAAAAGTCTGTTTTCTGTAGCTGCGGGCATGGAGTGTCAAACTACGTTACACTGCACCACACAGCAGTGACAATTTCATTTTAAAACATGGGGGCACCGCTTCAGGACCCAAAGTATTCTCAGCAAAGAAAAATGCAACAGAGAGGCTGCCAAGGGAAGGAGCATCTGTACACTTCGTACATTTTATGTGAGAAGAGAATAATAGTGAAACCCACAGTGTTCTGCAATAACAAAAGAGAGAGGACATCTCTTGAATAGGCAGCATCTTTAGAAAGAGCCCCCACAGCCCATTTGTTTCTCAAGTTTCATAACTAAAAGCTCTCAAATGGAAGGGCAAACTCTCTATAATCTGGCTTGCACACTTCACTTGAAACAGACACTAGTATTATCAACTCCATCTGAAAATGAAGGATAAGAGACAAAGCAGTAGTGACATGCTCCTTTCAAATGCATTCCTGAATAACTATCATTGTTCCCACTCTCCATTTTTGCTACCAGAATCCTTAAGAGCCATACAAGTCAATGGACCATAGGCAAGCCACAGTATATTTACTGGCCTTCACATTAGAACACGGAAGGTCACACTTCTGATAGTTCGACTATGTAACTGAAAAGTGCAGCAGCAATGCAGTTGCCTCCTATGGAATACAGATTGCTGGCATACTTGATATTCATTCAAGCAATAGATATGAAAATATTTCATTTGCAATACACCCAAATAATCTGTCCTATGAACATAGTATACTGTGGAAATGTCTGAACCCAAACACTGAATGTATTCAAAAAGGTTCTCATCTTTCACTGTATAAGCATCCACAGGACAGCTTGGAGTGACAATACTACAAGTGAAACATTTCTGTTGGGAGTTTAAAAAGACATACAACCTTTAACAAATTCCTGTAACATCATTACTTTTTTGCATCATGTTTATTCATTTTTTGATGTCTATCAGTGCTTTCTTGAATCAACATAAAGGGATTTTTAAAAATTGCAAATCTCTTGTAAGTTTCCCCCCCACCAAAATGTAAAGTAAAATGTTATTCAGTTCTTTTATTAACATGAATTAATTATTCAGGTGTTAGTCTATCTCCTTTCCAACAAGTTACACCCCTTTTATTAGAACCTGCATTTTAGCAGTAAATTTCAAATTGCATTTCACCTGTGTACATTTTATGTACATTTTAATAGTGCTTTGCTTTACCTTATTGTTTTAACTATGACAAGCGAAAAAGACATGTGGGTAATATGTTGTTGTTGTTATTATTATTATTATTATTATTATTATTAAAATCATTTCCCAAGATCTGATCATTGGAGGTTCCAGGACTGGAGCCAGCCTTCAAAAAATCTTTTTTTCTAAGTCAATGAGAACCT